CTTATACTGTGGTCTAAGCCACCATCATCTCTCAATAGCCTCCTACCTGATTTTTCTACTTCCCTATCCACTCTCTACTCCTACCACACACACTCCTATCCCCCTGTCTCTGCACAGAACAGTCTGTGTGATCCTTTAAAACACAGGTCTCTCCTCAGAACCTCCAGTGGCTTCTCATCCTAGAGTTAACAGCCAAAGTTCTTACAATGGCTACATGGCTACATTGTATATGATCTACCCACCACCCCCAACCAGGGCTCTGCCGACCTCACATTGTACAATTACACTCTGTCCTCATCTCCCTCCAACCACTCTAGCCTCTGCTGTTATGGAACACACCAAACATTTCTCAGCCTCAAAACTTTTGACTTAGAATTTCCTATCTCTAGAACATTTTTCCCTTCCACTCCTCTTCCAGCACTTCCTATCCCCCCTCCTCAGCTTTATTTTTATTCATGATCATCTTAATAAATCTGACAATATATTTTTACTTTATTTTAGTCTTTCCCTTCTCTCCCACTCCTCTCTCTTTCCCTTTTTTTATAGAAGCACCTTGAGAACAAGGATTTTCTTTTTGGCTGGGGTTCATTGCTATATACATAGTCAATAAATACTGGTTGAGTAAATGAAATTGACCTCTTTTAGTTGGTGGCATAATAGACATTGTTCTAATTTCTTCAATAATAATAATAAGCATTTACTGTGTTCTTAATTTGTACCGGGCTAAGTTCCAGCACTTTATATATACTAGCTCACAAACACTCAATAAGGTTGGTTTTGTTCAGTCAACCCCACTGTACAGATTAGAACACTGAAGTGCAGAGATTATGTCACTTGCCCACAAGCACACTGGTAATGAAGAACAGGGCTGAGATTTGAAAACTGCAGTTTGGCTCTGGAGTCTGTGAACTTCAGGACACAATAGCATGAGACCAGTAGACCAGTGCTATAAACATAAGTTTTACTTGCTTTTCTCAGTTCCTCTCCCCTGAGACTCAAATTTGGTCTGCAAAACAAATAGCTCTCCTTCCTTGTATTTCCTGTTCTTGCCCATCAATCTGTTATCATGAGCTCACTCTCCTACACTTCTTATTTCTGAGCTTTAATTTAGAGCCTGCACTTTCTCCCCTAGAACTGGCAAATGGGAATGTCTCATAACTTTTGTTACTGCCAACTTCATGAGTAGACGGAGTCACAATCAAGTTTTCTAGTCTGACTGAAATGCTGATAGAAAAGACCTCTACCGGGGTAACTGGGCTGGATTTTAGCAAAACACATCATACTGATAGAGCTACCGCTTATTTAGGTAGCCTTTATTCTTGTTAAGACATCCAGTGATCAGGAGTTATTAAATATTTGGATCGTACCCCCTGAAGGAAATATATTAGTTTAAGTTCACAACGATTAGGACCTGAGAGAAAGGGATGAAAGACAATCACTTGTCTGGCTTGAAAGGGGTTGTAGGCACCCTGCGGTTACTCTGAATGTCTTGGATACTTAAGAAGGAGAACACTCACATGGGAAAATTGAAGCTCCACTGGAGCTAAGACCCTAGGATCCCATTTCCTAGTACAGTCCCAACACAGAGGCATGCACCAGGTGCTAAACAAATGTTTTTACATAAAGGAATAAATGAATTCCTAACAGGGAAATGGAAGAGTGCTGAGGACAAGTACCCCTGACTTTTCCAAACTTGATCATAGACTGCTCCCTGAGCTGCTATGTACGATTGTATATGTTACACACTCCAAAATATCAAGGGACACCATTCACACAAATTAAAATGCAAACACAGAAGTCTGACTGCTCCTCCCACCCCTAGCCTCTGCCCAAGTATGGTAGTCAGTCTGTAGGATGGCCTCAATGATCCCTGTTCCCTGGTATTCATGCCCTTGTGTAGCCCCTCCTACATCATACCAGGATTGGTATAATGGTGAGAAGTGATAGTGCCTCACTTCCAAGATAAGTTTATAAAAGACATTAGGGCTTCCAGCTTAGTGTCTCTCTCTCTCTTTCTCAATCCCTCTCTTTCTCTCTCTCTCTCTCTCAATCTCTCTCTCTCCCCACCTCCCTTCCTCCCTCCTTCCCTTCCTCCCCAACCTTCCCTCTGTCTCTCTACTTACTCTGGGGAAAGCTAGCTACCCTGTTGTGAGTAGTCTTGTGAAGAGGCCCATGTGGCTAGGAACTGAGGTCTCCCACTAACAACCATATGAGTGAGCTCAGAAACAGACCTTTCCTCCTTAGCCAAGCCTTCTGATGTTGCAACCCTACTCAACTTCTTCAGTGCAACCTCATGCAAGACGGTAGACCAGAAATACCCAGCTAAGCCACTTTTGGACCTTGAGATAATAAATGTTAGTTGTTTTCAGCTGCTAAGTTTGAAGGCAACTTGTTACGCAGGAAAAGACAATTAATACACATGCTCTCTGCTCTCTAATGATGAAGTTCATTCTTCAAGTCCTTTAGGCATGAAGGATGCTTCTGCTGTGGTAGTTCCCGTGGAGTCCTACCCACTCCTGAAGTGGGCTATTGCATCCAACTTCCCAGAAATACAAACAGAGGGACTTAAGTAGGTGCTGAGATATGGGTAAAGGGTTCAAAGAGAGAGCACAGGCCAGGAATGGAAAAAAAGAAAAGTGATTCAGAGGGGCTATCTTTAGACACCAGAGGGAGAATCTGCTCTGAAAAAGACTATCAGAAC